TCTGCTAGATCTTTTTATGCATCGTGCAGGGTTCCTGTCATGATGTTCTTGAACTGATGGGTTGGAAGAACCGAGATATGGATTTCCAGTTTGGAAGGCAGGCAGGATTCTCTCTGTGGTCGCACAGTACTCTTCTCAGGACTGCAGAATTCCACTGGAGGGCTGCGCTCCTGCCGAGGGTTCGGATCCCACATACAGACCGGCCGCTCACTGGCTGAGCGAGGTGCGGGAGCAACGCCGAGGGTTGCGATCCGTTGCCGGTCACGAAAAAAGACAAAAAGGAAAAAAAAAAAAAAAGAACTGCTGTAACTTCTCATAAGTGCAAGGGAGAGTCCGGTGATGGGGCAACACTGAGGGTTGCGATCCATTGCCGGTCACGAAAAAAGACAAAAAGGAAAAAAAAGAGAACTGCTGTAACTTCTCATAAGTGCAAGGGAGAGTCCGGTGACGGTATCAGTGTGTCCTCCAGTAAAGGACACGGTGCACTTCCTTTCTCCGTCTCGCTGCCATCCCAGCACTCACAAATCAGAGGGCTCATGGTTGGAGCTCTCAAGGTTCACACCCCAGCACTTTTCACTGTATCTCTCAGTGCCTCCATTTTCTCACTGTAAAATAGAAATAGGACTTACTCCAAAATATTGTTTAAGGATTAAACTGTAAATATAAATAAATTCCTGAGAAGAGTGTCTTTCCTAGATTTGAACACACTATCAGTGCTCACTGTTGTTGTCTGGAGTAAATCACTAGGTATCTCTAGGAATCAACCTTATTTGTGTATTCCATGTAAAAATGATCCCTTTTCCTGCTCACGTGGCAGGGATATAGAGAAGCCAAAGTTTATAGGTAAAATGTCAGCAGCTCTCTGGAGAGAATATCTGTTTTAAAGTTCATAAATCTTCCTCAAATAAATCTGTAGACAGTCTCTGACCTAGGTCTGCAGCCTCCTTGAAGCACAGACTATCTTCCTTCCAAGAGTCAATTGATATGGAGGCAACTTGTAATCTACAGGAAGGAAAAATTCACTGGTGGTCATGTCAGTTCCTCACCATTTACCGTCCCTAAAACAACACCTTACTTCATAGTATGTTTTCAATAAATATTTGGTAAATTCAATATTATTTTATTTAACCTTTTATTTATCAAAAGGAGTAGCTGAGATACATTAGATTCTCATCTTTTCATCCTCATATTAAAGGTACCACTTAAATAAATGACTTAAAAATAAAACTTAATTCACCAAGACAGTGGAAATCATTTAAATGTAGCTAAAAGTTCTTTTAACTAAGGGTTTTTTCCCAATGGGCAAGGTTTTGTAAGGATGGGAAGAACCTGTTTTTGTTTTTGTTTTTCTTTATTTACCTTTGACCTGGATTTTAAATGGTGAAAGTTTCAGTAAAAGGGATTTTTCTCTAGTTTTCTACAGAACCTGGAAAAGGAGACTAACAAAGAAAATGCAGTATAAATTGTCTCCTCTGTTTGGTTTTTACAGCTGGCAGCTGGCAACTGAATATAATAACCTGGAATAAAAAAGACACAATAGTGATTTTCAGTAGTAAAGACTGTTTGTCTTCAAGATTTTTCCAAGTATTGTCATGGAGCTATGTTTAGGGAAAGGATAAGAAGCATTTATACTTCTTTTTAGAAAAAGTACAGTGAAGGAAAAGGCAAACATCCTTCAGCTGATGTGATCCCCCCGGTACATGATGCACTGTTTATGTTAGAATTTTATATGCACGCAGCTGGCACAAGCTCCTGCAAACTTCCTCAGCAGCAATGCCTCCGCACACAGAGGCTGTGGGTGGGGGATTTTCCCCTGCAGGTTGCTTTTGGCCCAGGATACCAAGGCTTTTTCAAGGCAGTTTAGCACTGGGATAACAAATTTTATATCCTAGTCCCATCAATAATAACTTGAGTATCTTTGATGCACCTCATTGAATTTCAAGTTAGCTTTAAATATGGGAAAAGAAAAGAAAAAAGAACTATCCTGCACGTGTAAATAGACCTTTTTACATGGTATGGTCAAATGCATTAGATGTGTAAAAAGAAAAACATTACAATAACATTGATAGAATAATAATAAGTATTATTAAAGTTTGAAAATCTATTCATACAATGAACCTTGTACAAAAGGCATGTGTACTTGAAACCAGATTAAGAAGCTTTATATATTCTTCAGAAACTACAAGAATCCCTCTAGAGAGGATTTGACTTCCAAACATTAAGGCTGGCCTTGAGACAACCTACTAGACTCTTCTACGTAGTTCATAATCTGCTTGCATCCCTCAAATAAAAGCTCTCCGTCACCCTTCCCACACTTCCTGTTGTTACAGGGCTCATAGCCTGTTTCCTGTTGATAAGTCCTGAGAACTGGTTCAATATCCTCAGGGAAAAAAAATAGCTCATTGTGTACCCTGGGGAACTTGGCTACACCAGGAAAGCCTGCGTTCCTCATTTGACTTTTCCTCTAACTTCTCTGGAATCACCTACACACATGAGAGTCTAGAAGAGAAAAGGTTTTGTGCTAAAAGTCCAGTTCATGTGGTGCCCCTCTCTGATTCTCAACTGAACTTGTTTCCAGCAAATCATATGTGGACGTTCATTTTATAATTATTTCCTATTGTAAAAAAAAAGAAAAATTAAAGTTTGTGGAGAGAATGTTGCACCATACTCATTTTCTGTTCTTTTGAAATGTTTGTTCATACTGTGATCAATATTGGGAGTTTTGTTACAGGGATGAAGGGATTGAGGGCAAAGGTGAAGAAGAATAGCTCAAGAAAACAAGTATGTCAATCATGTGCTCTATTTCTTCCTTCTCACCATCTCAAATGACACTTTCCCTTAGGTCCTAAAACTGGAGGGAGAATACCATTCAACATTCACTTTCCAGGGACCTAGACATTTCAAAACAAGGCTTTTATTTATTTATTTATTTATTTGTAGTTTTATTTTATTTTGTCAATACACAATGTGGTTGATTATTGTGGCCCATCACCGAAACCTCCCTC